CCTTCACAGTCACATTCTAAATTGAACAAGATGGAAAAAAAAGATCAGCAGAAATCTCGACTTTGTGGATTAATGATGAAATGATGAATGAGCGGAGATGCAATGTTGAATAGACGAGATCTTTGGGCTTACCTGGGGCAGCGATGTGACGCCGCGTCGGGAGAGCTCCTCCTTGGGCAGGAGGAACTTCACGGGCGTCGTCGATCGTCGCTGGGCCTTGTGCTGGAGGGCCAGGGCCGCGGTCCGCCGCGCCTTGGCCTCGGCCTCGCGCTGGGTCCGGTGCCGCGCCTCGACGTGGGCGTCGTAGTCGCACGCCTGCGGACACTCGTTTCGCATGATCTCCTCCAACCGCCTCACGATATCCGTACACGCCGGCCGTTGCTCTGTTGGCAGCACGCACACACATGGTCAGTCAGTCGCCGCACACACCACACACCACGACACACGCGTGTGCGCACTCGACAATAAATGGTCATCACGCACCTGGTTGCTGCGCCCAGCAGTCTTCGATGAGCCGGCGGTAGGCCGGGAGGCAGTCGTCGGGGATCGGCGGCCGAGCGCCCGACAGGACCTTGTCCTCGAGTCGGCTCATGAAGCGGATCTCGCCGAAGAAGGCCTTGCGCGTGAGGAGCTCCCACAGGATGACGCCGATCGAGTACACGTCGGCCTTCTCCGTGTAGATCTTGTTGGCCATCACCTCGGGCGCCAGCCACACTGTGGGTACCCAATAAAGTTGTTAGCTGTGTGCCGTGTGTCGTGCCGTGTAGCGTGTGCCGTGCGTGTGTCGTGCGTGTGTGTCGTGGTACCAGGACAGTCTACTCGTCGGCCAGCTGTGTGGTGCGCGGCGCTGAGGGAAACGCCGAAGTCGCACACCTTGGCCACCACCTCGGCCCCGGGCGACACGTCGGCCAACAGGATGTTAGGGCTCTTCAGGTCGCGATGCATCACCGGCGGCGACGTCCCGTGCAGATGCGCGCAGCCCTTGGCTGCACACATTTTCATTTATATATACGTTATTCGGAAAAATGCAATAATAATGATACAGAATAAACACAATATCGGTACCGATGTCTTTGGCGATCTTGAGCCGAAGGGACCAGTCGAGCGGCTTGGACTGATCGTTGATGTACTCGAGGAGCGAGCCGGCGGCCACGTATTCGGTGACGATGCACGCCGGCTCCGTGCAGAACCCGCGCATCGCCACCAGGTTGGGGTGCGCCAGCCCACTGCCGACATTCCATACATTCATGTGTGAATAAAATAAAAAATGACGTGCAACGCTTCGACCGAAATGGCGAACTACGCATATACCTCATGATCCACACCTCGTGGCGGAACTCCTCGTAGGTGAGCCGGCGCTGGTGGGCCTCGAATTCGGCGTCGCTGCTGCTGGTGCTCGTGCAGGTATTGTAGGTGCTGCTGCCGGCGCTGGTGCTGCCGCTGCCGCTGCTGCTGTAGTTGCTGTCGTCCGGCTGCTGCGAGAAGGCGTCGGCCCCGCCCGAGCGGAGCACCTTGATCGCCACCACGTCGCCCTTGTAGGTGCCCTTGTACACCGTCGCGAACCCGCCTTAGGTCGCACGACACAACACACAACACACACACACACACACAGAGAGAGAGAGAAGGTAAGAAAGCAAAGACACGCAAAGGGCTTGGGCGGTGGGTGGTACCCTCGCCGATGGGTGGGTCGTGCTTCTCGAGTTCACTGTAGGCAATCTTGTGGGAGTCGAGATGCGCCATGGCGAGATCTGGCGCCGCCGAATCCAGCCGCACCGCAGTCGGGGTGCAGCTCTTTCCCTCCTCTTTTATTTTCAACATCACACACGACACGACACACGCGTGTGCGCACACAAATTAGGAAACATTGCTCGCATATTCATTCGAGTAGGAGGCTGGAGTACCGTTGAGAATGCAGTAGAGGAAGGCGTCGTTGGGCGTGATGGCCGCTTGTTGGCACTCCTCGAAGGCAAACACGTAGGGCTCCCGATCCAGCCCGCCAAACACCATGCAGTGCGGACACGGTACCAACACGCGCGCCTGTCGTGTGTGTCGTGTGTGTCGTGTCGTGTGTTGCGTGTCATCGTGTGTGTCGTGCCATCGGGCAAGGGGAGAGAGGGAAGAAATTCGTACGCTAAGGCTGTACCACTCTTTGACGAGCGAGTCCACGGCGGCGAAGACCAGCCAGCACAGGTTGGACATCTGCTCGCCGCGCAGCTCAGTGCGCACCAGGATGCGGAGGTGACACGACTGGGGCTCCAGCTCGACCAGTATCCGCTCCCTGGCCATCCGCACGAGCATGCCGTAGCGCCACAGTAGTTGAGCCGCGACGGGAAAGCCCAGCATGCGGATCATCAGGCGGCCCATGAATCCCTGTGACGTCACACACATTCATCATCAACACATCAACACACACACCACACACACACACACACACCACACACACACACACACAAGAAAAATATATAACGTACCTTGGGGACGAAGTCAAAGCGGTACACCCGACCGAAGACCTGCTCCTGTGCGCCTGCGGTTTTGGAGTTTCAAGATTTGGGTTAAGGTTTTTTCCTGCTGGTGTGTAACTTATGAAACCCGTGTGTGTGTGTGTGTGTGTGTGTGTGTGTGTGTGTGTGTGTGTGGAGACGTACGAATGCGGGAGGGCCACAGCTGCTGCAGCTTGGCCGGTCGCTCGGCGGGCAGAAGCGACGGTACGAGCAACGAAGTTTTCTGCGCATCGTCTCCTTCAATGAACCCTGGGACATGGGGCGACCATCAATACCGATCGTCAGTTCGTCAGCACTAGGTCGCCACAATGATGTTTTTGCGGGGACGCGATACCGAGCTTGTGCGCGTAGTTCTGAACGGGGAAGATGATCTCGAAGCGCTCGAGCAGCGACAGCAGAAACTCGTGCAGCTCCGGCGGATACGCCGGCGGCTTCCAGATCTGCGCCAACGCCGAGTGGGCGATCAACCCGTCCCTGCGCCATTCAACACAATTAAATATGTAAAATTCTACTTTGCACGAACAACGCGAGGCGTACCGACAGTAGTTGTGTTTTGTTGACACCACAGTCGACATCACGTCCATCAGCCACTGCGGGTCCAGAATCACCACGTCCCGCAGCTGCGCACGACATACACGACACACACACGGCACACGCACGACACACACAGGGAATTAAGAAGCATAGTTCTAGCCCAGTAGCGATGCACATGAATCAAGGTACGTACCTTGTGCTCGTCGCCAAAGTGGACGAGGGCGCCCAGGTTGTGGAGCAGCGCGGTCGCGGTGCGCAGGTCGTCGCCGTTCTTGTCGACATCGATCGTGCACAGGCGCGCCAGCTCGCTGTACTCGTGCCACGTCAGCACGGGCGGGGTCTTGGCCTTGGCCTGTTCGGCCACGAGCTTCTCCAGGTGGAGGTAGCTCGAGGGCAGCGCGCGGCCGATGTAGTCCTGCTTGGCCACGACCGAGCGAATGCTGTCGACCAGCGCGTCCATGCTCTTGCCGGTCACGGGGCTCACGAAGTGGATGCCCGCCACGTTGGGGTACTTCTTCCTCACCGTCACCTTCAATCTGTGTCGACCAAGAGAATGTGAGGAATGTCACCACCGCACACACACACACACCATCGCACACGCACACGCACACGCACTCACGCGCATTACCCGCACACTCACGCACACCGAATCGTACGTTGCTTTGGTGGTGGAGAGGAACTGTTCGGTGCAGTGCTCGCTCTCGGCGTGGGTGCCGATGATGAGCACCGGCGAGTCCTTCGTCGCCGCTTTCACCGATTGCAGCCTGCATCAATTTGATTTTTATTAATTTTTCCTTAATTTATTATTCATAAATTAATCAATAATGATAAATATGGAAAAAAACAACAAAAGTCAAAGGTGAAGGGTGCGTACCAATATTCGACGCGCGACTGGACGAGCGACAGGAGGTTGAAAACGACGAGGAACAGGGAACGCTCCGATAGGAAGAACTGGTGCGTGGCGTAGTAGATCTCCTGGCCTGTTTGACATTTAAATGGAGTGTCTACCATGTATCTGGGTCCCCTTTGTGGTGTGCGTAATAGTTACCTGCAAAGTCCCAGGCCGAGAGCTCGACCGCCGGCGCATTGTCGCCCCATTCGGAGTCCATGGGCAGGCTCCACCCGTTGATGTCGATCCCGTCCGTCGACAGCGGCGCCGTGTGGGTGGCTGCACACATTGATCAATGATTAGGAGGGGGGGGAAGGCAACACGTAAGTGGCGCGCGGAGGTGAGATCAGACGCGTACGGCTGATTTCGTCCTCGCGTTTGACCACTCTGGACACCCCCTTGACCTTTTGGCCGGTCCTCTGCAGCGCACGAAGCAGCGAGGTTTTTCTGTGTGTCGTGTGTGTCGTGTGTGTCGTTCGTGTCGTTCGTGTCGTGTGCGTGCGGTCAGTGACATGTGTGCGATTAGCAGCGTAGGAGGCAAGTTGAATGGAGTGTGTACCCGACGTTCTCCTGGCCGACGAACATGAGCTTGAGTCGGTAGCACGGCGTTTGACCCCGAAGCAGCTGGCCCAGATACACCACGATGCTGCCCGAACCCAACACCACCACCTCGGGCGGCGGCGATCTGCATCGCGACGCGACCAAGGTCAGCCGCACCACCGCACACGCACACGCACGACACATGGCACGACACTGGGGTGGGTAGTTACCGGAGCCGGCCCTGTTGGGTGCCGACGTCGAGGCGCTCGAGCTGCGTGAGATTGCCGAGCTGGGCGGGCAGCTCCTCGATCGAATTGTCGTCGAGCGCCAGCACGCGGAGGCGCGTGAGCTTGGCCAGCTCGCTGGGGACGCGTCGAGCCGGTTGTGGTCGAGGTGGAGCTCCTCGAGCGTGCGCGCCATGCGCCCGAGGTCGTCGGCTGGCAGCGTCGACAGCTGATTGTGCGACAGCCACAGCCGCTCCATGTTGGACCACTTCACGAACCAGCCCGGCGGAATGGCGATGAGGCCGTTGTGGCTGAGGTCGAGTCGCCTGAGGGTCGTGAGCCCGCCCAGGTCCGTCAATCGGAGCTTGCCCTCGCCTGAATGATATAATAAATAGTATTAAGTGAATGGGTGTGGTCAATCAGTGTCAACGCTAAGAGTCAGAAACGGTCAAACGCGTACCACCGTGCGAACTGGCCTTAACTTCGTGGTGGTCCGAGAAGCAGTTCCTGTGCGCGTGCGGTGAGTGCGTACACACACGACACACACACACACGACACACACACACACACACACACACAACGAACCGGAGATAGAGCTCGTGCAGGTTGGGCAGTTGCGCGATAGTTCGGGGGAGGACTGAAAGCTGCGAGTTGTCGGCCACGGAGAGCACGCGCAGATGGACGCAGCCGGCGATGCCCTCGGGCAGGCATGACAGGGCGTTGTGCGAGAGGTCGAGCTCCTCGAGCAAGGGCAGCGACGAAAAGAAGTCCGGCGGCAGGGCGGTCAGCTTGTTGCCGGCCACGTTGAGCGAAGTGAGCGACGACAACCGTAGCACGGGCTCGAGGATCGTCGTCTGTTCACCTATTCACCAAAGAACGTCAACACACGCACGACACGACACAACACGACACACGCACACACGACACAACACGACACGACACACACTTGCGTACCGAGGTCGTTGGTGAGATTGTTGTGAGCGATGTTGAGCACACGGAGGTTGGCGAGCGAGGCTAGGTGCCTGGGCAGCCTTTCGATGACGTTGTGCGCCAGGTTGAGCTC